GGGGGGAGGGGTAAATAGCCAGCACGACACCTCTTCAACACGACTGTGTCGTGCTACAAGGCCATAGACACTTTGTGGCGAGTGTGTTATGCAGCTGCTTACACACGCGCATGGCCTGGCAGGTACCTGGGTTCAAACCCCGGCGGCAACAGTTCCATCCCGGATCTTGAAAATAAATATATTCGGGAGCGGGGCGGGGCGGGGGAGCGGGTCGGCGTGGGCACGTGGTGCGTGCGTGTGCGTGATGCGGCGGCGGCCTTGGTCTTGGCGCTTGCGCGCACGCGTCGTGATGTCACTTCCTTTTTCGCCACGTGGAGCCCTCCTGATGCTGCGCCTTTTTCCCTCTGTTTTCCGTGAGAAACAGCCAAAAAATAGCGAAAAATCCCGCTGTCAGGATTTGTTGTTTTCCCCTGTGTGCGGGGAGGTGGGTGGGAGCGGGGACCGTTCCCGCTCCGATACCAATGTAGCGGACCCACCATGTGTGGTGCTCCGCTAGTGGTAGAGATGGAGATGGAGGAAGAAGGGGGGAGCGAGATGGCACAACGCAGCTCCCCACGCAAGACTCCAATGCACGTACTCCAAAATATGCAAGTGAAGAATAATGACGAAACAGACAACTGCTGGGGTATACCCCGGCGGAGAGACTGGACTGGACTGGACTGGCTGGTACCGACAGAGGTACCGGCCTGGACTGGACTGGACTGCCCCCGAATAGAACACAGGCCTGTAAGAACAGGCCAAGGGGTTGGTCTCACAGGCCAACCAGAGGTCCGCTACAGAACGTGTTGGCGTTCGCCGGCGAACGCGAACGGCGTGCGATGCAGGTAGTGAGAGTAACAAAGGGAAAGGTAAATATGAAGATCGACCCAAAAGAAATTTTGCTTTGTGTACCACACCGAACATGTCTGGAGCTTTTACGAAGGTTCGAACATGGTCGGGTGTTCGGTCGAACGCCTGCCGAACGTGTTTGGTCGAACGCCTTCCGAACGTGTTCGGCCGAGCATATCAAAAAAAAATTATAATTGTTTTTTTATTTTTAACTGAGTTTGGTTACGAATTTGGGTATACGTCCCAGGCAAAAGTTGTTTGTATTATTATTTTACATAACATGTATTTTTTCGGATTTTTTTGAGAATTTTTTTCTTTTTTATGTTCGTGTTTGGAGGGTTTTAACGCTCGTTCGCGTTCGGTCATGTTCGAGATCGGTCACCGAACCCAAACACGATGCATGCGACACAGGTTTCACTTACTATAATTCTGAAGGAGAGCGTCATACTACTACGTATTGTAAATTATTGGAAGAAGATATGAAAAATAGAACATCATAGAACGATA